TGTGACCTCAGTGCACAGTGAGAGAGCTCAGAGGCTGCTAGACGCTGGAGTAATTTTAGACTCGGACCGTTTTTTTTCCTTGTCTCTCTGAGTAACCTAGCTTGCCAAGATTCCCCCTTTATAGTCAGAGACCAGCCAATTACCATGAAAATCAGAAGAATAAATATTGAAGAGAACGTGTTCAGCGTCTATTTCAGTGTCCTCGCAGCAAGGAGGCAACTTTGCATTTTTAATTAAGTCTTTCATTTCCATCTCCTTTGCAGTTAAAGCTATCCTCTGTAGGATCAATTAAATCAGATAATCAGGTCCAGTGAAAAGCACCCCCCCCCCAAAGAATAGTCATCAGTGGGTAGGAGTTAAGGAGCATTCTTGATGGTCCTGCAAATTTCACTCCAGAATTACAACTATGTGATAGCACGGGTCACAATCCTACTTCCTCGGTTCCCGCACACCTTGAAAAATATGGCTTGGGAAAATATAATGAACAATTGTTAGTAGGGTCTGAGGGTTGGTTTTTAATTGTTAACTTGACACATTCTACAGGTCACCTGGGATGAATGTTCGAAGGGGATATTATCTAGATCAAGCTAGCCTGTGGGCATGTCTGTGGGTGATTATCATGATTATGATAAATGATGTGGGCAGACCCACCCACTGTGGGCAGCCCTATTCCCTAGGCAGGGAACTCTGGCTTGTATATGAATAGGTAAAGAGAGCTGAGCACCAGGGTTCATGCATTAATCCACTATTCTCTGCTCTTGCCTGTGGATGTCAAAGGCACAGAGCATGTCTTTTAAGATAATCCTTTGGTGTATAAAGACTTAGCAAAAACATTTAATCATCTTTGTTCTACGTGATGACATACATACTCAGCTAGACATTCTTTTTTAACATTCCATGTTTTAAATACCAATCTTCAAGTGAAATATTTATATTCTCACAGAATTCTTGAAGAGCTTTTTCTGCTATTTTTCTTTCTGATAACCACAACTGAATGGCTGCAAGGCCTAGCCAGGGGGTGAAGGGGGCTCTGGGATGCTTCTATTTAGGTAGTCTTGTTTGTGGTTCTATACCTGTAAAAATTCACTATAGTTCAACATTAGCAAGGTCGCAGATACACACTCACACACCTGTAGGCATGAGATCCTCATACGATCAGTACTATGGAAATCAAAGAAAAGAGATATTTACTTGGTTTCCACTCAGAGATCTAGGGATGGATGCACTTCATAACCTGGTGATCTTTACTATCCGTATGGCCAAGTCTCACCGATATACCCTAAAGGATTATATTTATTTATCCCAGACTCACCCCTCTATATCTTGAGCATTGCTTCTCACCTATAGAACCCATCCTTATGAGGGGTTCACTTGTACTTTATTACATTAACCCAGGAAACTTCTGTGTTATCTTTAGGGCCAGGCCAATCCTGACTCTACAGGCATTTCTGAGTCAACAGAACCCATCTCTATGGCAGAGGCTGTATGTACTCTGTAAAGAGATTCAATGTAAACAAAGTTGCTGTACACACAGGGCTAGGTTAGTTGTCATCAGGAAACTCTTTCTCTGAAGTTCTGCTATGCTTGAACGTGACTGAAATAAGCTGTCCACGGTCATACTCTAGAAGTCTGAGCCAGCACCAGCTAACTTAATCAGGCTGAACTGACTTTCCTTCTGGTCTCTCTCAGATGGCTACACTGCCAGCCCTGATATTTGGAGAGACCCCCTACCTGCTCCCTAAATTCCTTGGACTCTCAGTTCACAATCTATAAAAGCCTTGTACGATCAAGCATCCACTCAGTACCTATTGAATACCTACTTCAGTGCCTATGAAGGTACAAGATGCATACAGAACACCAAATAGACTAGACAGAAAAAAATTCACACAATAATCAAAACATTAAACATTTAGAACAAACAAGAATATTAAAAGCTGCAAGGGGAAACGACCAAGTAATATATAAAGGCAGACCTATTGGAATAGCACCTGACTTTTCAATGGAGATTCTAATGCCAGGATGGCCTGGATAGATGTACTGTAGATTCTAAGAAAGCACAGGTGTTAGCTCAGACTATTATACCCAGCAAAACTTTCCGTCTCAATAGGTGGAGAAAGAAAGATATTCCATGATAAGTCAAATTTAAGTAGTATCTCTCTGCAAATCCAGCTCTATAGAAAAACTTCACACCCAAGAAAACACAAAGAACAAATAATCTCAGATCAGCTAATCAAAAGGGGGTGGGCCCTACACCACCACAACAAATTAACAGGAATCAGTACGCTGCTCAATGAAAGCTCCCGATATCAATGGTTTCAATTCCCCAATAAAAAGACACAGAGTAACATATTAGTCATGAAAACAGGGCCCATCCTTCTGCTGCACACCTGAACATCAAGGATAGACATCATCACCTCAGAGTAAAAGGTTACAAAAAGATATTTCAAGCAAACAGACCGAAGAAACAAGCTGATGTAACCATTTTTAGTATCTGACAAAATAGACTGCAAATCAAAACTAATCTAATGAGACACGGGAGACTATATACACATCAAAGGAAAAATCCACCAAGAAAATATTGCAATTCCAAACATTTGTGCACCAAATACAAGGGCACCCAAATTCAGAAAAGAAACTACTACAGTCCTTTAACCATTACAGTTAAAATCACATGTTACTGAATCTCAGAAGGTGACTGCGGGAGACTTCAATGCCCACCTCCTGCCAATAGGCAGGCCATCCAGACAAAAACTAAACAGAGACTCTGGAGGTAAATGATGTCATAAGTAAAATGGACCTAACATATTTACAGAACATTTCACCCACAGACAGAAAATACACTTCCTTCTCATTACCTCATGAAACTTTCTCCAAAACTGACCACATACTCTGACAACAAAGCAAGTCTCAACAGATTCAAGAAAACTGACTCCTACCCTCCTCTGTGTCCCAAACACACAGTCCAACCAAACACTCTAGTTCCCTTCCTGCCCGTCCATCACTGATCTAATTCTGCTAAGTAATTCTAACCTTCCCCTCTTTGTTTTCACTGGATGAGAGGTTTTAAAGTAACAATCCTGGCATTTGCTCAATGGTTAAGTTGATTAAATTGCACTTACTGAACTTGGCAATTATTGGACTCTGCCCAGGGTGAAGTCAAATACTCTTATTGATTGGCAGGTAGACAAGCCAGACAAACCCACAGAATTACTTAGACAGACTCATACCATCAACTCAGTGTCTGGAGGCTGTGCCTTCTGTGACCTGCAAAACACAGGGCTAATTGATGGAGAGCTGCCTGCTGTCCAGCATTCGTTATAGCCCGTAGGAAAGCCTAGAGATGGCAGTTTTGGAATCATTTGGGGTAAATATTGAAAATCTAGCACTTTTAGCTTCTCTGGTCACTGTGAATACTTCAGGAAGGGATGCTATTGCTGTAGCATGCATGTGTGTTTGTGTGCCTGTATGTGTATATGTATGTGTGTGCACACACATGTGTCTACACTCATGTGTGCAGGTGACTTTGAGGACAGAAGAAGATGTCAGATCCCCCAAAGCTAGAGTCACAGGCAGTTATAAGACATCTGATGTAGGTACTAGGAACTGAACTCATGCTCTTTGCATGAGGAACAAACACTCTTAACCATGGGGCCATCTCTCCAGTCCTCAAAAGTGCTATTTTTCTAAATCTTTCCCTCAGTTATCTTTGTAGTTTTGCACTTTGGATTTCAGTTCCAAATGGAAGTCCTTTTCCATAAAACATGGATAACTTTTTAAGTGTCCATACAGTAAGGCCAAAGTTCCTCTGTTTCTTTATTCTTTTTCTGTGTGTCTTTGTCTCTTTCTCTGTCTCTGTCTCTGTCTCTCTCTCTGTCTCTCTCTCTCTCCTCTCCTTTCTGTCTCTGCCTCTCTCTCTCTGTCTCTCTCTCTCCTCTCTGTCTCTGTCTGTGTGTGTGTGTGTGTGTGTGTGTGTGTGTGTGTGTGTGTGTGAGAGAGAGAGAGAGAGAGAGAGAGAGAGAGAGAGAGAGAGATATTAGACATGAGCATGCCACAGTGCACATGCAGAGGTCCGAGGACAGCCTTGAGTGACGCACTTCATCTTCTGCCTTGTCTGAGACTCCTGTTGAGGTCTCTCATTGTTCACGGCTATATGCCTCAAACTCTCTCCAGGGGAGTGTCTGCTCCCTGCCTCTGTGCTGGATAGCTAAGTGTTAACTTGACACAAGCTAATGTCATCTGACAGGAGGGGACCTCAATTAAGAAAAGGCCTCCATAATAACAGGCTGGAGGCAAACCTGCGTCCTGACGTGTAGTCAAAGTGTGACCAGCGAAGCTTCCCACTCCTCCCACCATGCCATCATGCCATCCCATCCCCATCATTGTTCTCTCTCTCTCTCTCTCTCTCTCTCTCTCTCTCTCTCTCTCTCCCTCTCTCTCTCTCTCTCTCTCTCTCTCTCTCTCTCTAGAACTGTGAGCCAGAACAAACCTCCCTTCAGTTGATTTGATCATAGTATTTTATCACAGCAACAGAAAAGTAGCTAACACTAATGGCAAGCTCTTTACCCACTGAGCCATCCCCGTCACTCCTGTTCCATTATCTTCTAACAAAAGGTTTATCTGTAAACTTTTGATGATGCACTCCTGAGCAGGGGTGCCTGTGGAGACCGGAAGGGAGCACTGAATTCCCTGAAGCAGGTGTTAAAGGAGGTTGTGAGCTACAAAATGCAGATGCTGGGAACCAAACTCAGGTCCTCTGCAAGAGCAAGAAGTACTCTAAGCTCTGAGCCATTGATGAAGACCAAAGCTTTGATCCTGGACTATAACTTTCCAAGCTTTGTAACTCACACAGGGCATTGGTCATGAACACTTGTCACGTAAGTCTCCCGTCCCCGACAGGTAAACAGAGCATAGTGTGGATGTGGCCCCCATGCAAGGCCTGGTAAATAGAAATGGTTGAAGGTAGTTATGAGCTTATTGGAAGGTGCCTGCCCGTGTCTCACCGTGCCTTCTGGGTCCACCAGCAGCAGGTGCTTGGCCTGACCATTATGCATGCCCGTGAGGACAAAGGAGCCAGGGTTGGTGGTGCTCTTCCTGACCAGGAAGTCTCCATCTTCCTGTAGCAGGGCCTCTGCCTCCTTCCTGCTCATCTCTCCTTGGTACCAAGGCTCAGCATTAAGCTCCTCCAGCATCTTGGCATCCGGGGCTCTGGGTGCGACAGGGCTGATGCACTCCACAGATGCGGCTTTGCTCAACACAGGGCCCAGGGGCTGGTTTCTGAGGGCATCTTCAAAAGGCTCTGTCAACAACATATGACAGCAACAGATCAATCCCCGGAAGAGGAAGCAGTAAAAATAGAGTGATGAGAATTAAGATGTAACTCTTGACAGAGCCTGGCAACAGAGATGGATCATCGGAACTAGCATTTAAATGCGCCGCCCAAATGTTGGCATGACTCTCTGGTGAGTCTACTTCCCAGACAGTTGGGGGTTGTGCCTGGTGCCAAGGAGGCAAGCATACACTTTGTCTAGCTGGGTAAAAGGACTTCAGTGTCGCACACCACCAGAGGGCAGGGAGATCTTGCCATGTCACACCACCTACCTTCTCTTAAGAAACCCCATATACAAACTTGTCAATTCTGAAGGAAAAGACACACCATGGAACTTTGATTCCATGAAAATCCCAATGCCCCACAGATTTGCTTCAAAAATCCCAGGTGCCTCTTGAGGACATGCTCCAGGATAAGAATTCTACTTGGTCTTGACCTTCCCTGATATCTGAGTGTTGACATCACTCTCGGCTTAATCTACGTTGCAGCAAACTTCACACTATATAGAATATCAGTGAGTGCTCAGACCCCAGTGAGTAACAACCATATCAGCAGCAAAGAATTCACTAAGCACGTCTAATTAAACTTCGGTGTGCAGTTTTCCATAGGATGGGGGCATTGGTATGAGCAATGAAAAGTGTGTATGGTGCCGGGTAACCACCGAGTATTTAGGATCATACCCCCTGCATGGTACAGTGCAAACACACGATCTACAATGTCCTCTCTTGAACAAGGCCTGCCCCAGAGCCCCACGTTGTTTATGAGATACTCACTGGAACTCCATAACCATGCAGTGAATGTTGTGAAACAAGCCAAACTGCTAGATGTTAGGAAAGGATGGAAAAAAGAGAGGAGAATTCTTGGAGCAAAATTAGATCTTTTTCAGAATTGCTAAATCTTTTACTAGTGTAGAGAGGAAAAGTGATTTAAAAGCCATTGGCTGAAGGCTAAAATGATAATGTGTGTGTGTGTGTGTGTGTGTGTGTGTGTGTGTGTGTGTGTACATGCGTACATATGTACATGCACGTATGAGTATGTGTGTGGCGTGTGTTTTTGTTTAACCGTGTGCATATATGTGTGTACATGTGCAGGCCAGCTAGCGATATTAGATGTTTTTTTTAATTCCTCTCAGCTTTGTTCTTTAAGACAAGGTCTCTCACAGATGTGGAGCTCCACTGGATTGGTCAGGCATTCTCCTGTCTCTGCCTTCCCAGGTCGGAAGTTGCAGCTATGTGCTGCTGCCCCTGGCATTTTCACTTGGGTTCCAGAGCATCAAACTCAGGCCTCTGTACTGGGACAACAAGAGCATTAGTGACTGAATCTCCCTGCCCCCTCCCCCTCAGCTCCTGGGCTTTCCTTTTCATCCCACTTTTAATAATCTGACTATATGAAGTACTAAAAAAAAATCTGTACTCCGCTGTTTCTGTGTCATTGCCATCTTGCTAGTCCACCGTCAGCCAATGCCAACACTACACACTACCTGACATCATCATGGTCACCGAGATCAGCAGCATCATCACCGCCACCTTCATCCCTAACACCACCAACATCAGCACCACAATAACCACTGACGTCACCAGTATCATCACTAAGAACACCAGCATCATCACCAACATCAGCACCACAGTAATCACCTACATCACCGGCAACATCACCGACATCACTCATACCACCAACATTAGCACTGCCATCATTAATACCATCGCCACCCCTACTGCTATTTAGTAGCAGTATTTCGGATATACAGACTTCATTCCCCTACTTCTAAACAGACAATGATTTCTTAATGTCTTTTCTACTTTCAGTCACCACTTCTCTTGTTTTGAGGACAAGAACAGAGATTAGTGGATGAGAGTAAGATGTCTTTAGATTCCCGTTTCCTCAAACCTCAGCCCTCTCAGCTCTCTTCAGGTTCTCTGGCCCAGGCCACAGGTAGGTTGACTGAGTTGAACAGTGAAAACAGTCTGCCCACACTCAAAGCCTCTAGGCTGAAGTGGCTAACTCCTTAGTTTCCTGAGAACTCAACTTCCTGAGAAGTCAGGCAGGGTGGAACATGTCTCTGATTTCCAGCACTAGAAAGGCTGACTCAAGAGAACTGTTTCCAGTTCAAGGCCAGCCTTAGCTATATAGTGAGTACCAAACTAACCAGGGATATGGAACATTACCTTGTCTCGAAACAAAACAAAATAAAACCTAAAAAATGAAATAAAAGAAACCCCAAAGAATGGACTAATCACCACTTGATTCTGTAGCTTGGTTAATAGCCCTACAGTCTCCTCTCTCTCTCTCTGTCTCTCTCTCTGTCTCTCTCTCTGTCTCTCTCTGTCTCTCTCTGTCTCTCTCTCTCTGTCTCTCTCTCTCTCTCTCTGCGCCTCTCTCTCTGCCTCTCTCTCTGTCTCTGTGTGTCTCTCTCTCTGTCTCTCTGTCTGTCTGTCTCTGTCTCTCTCTGTCTCTCTGTCTCTCTCTCTTTCAATGAAAGAGATGGATTCCATGATCCATGTAATTTGCCCCCAGGCCCTGACCCTCAACAGTGTCTAGTGGGAGTTTGGCACGTCTTTGAAGCCATAGTGGCCCAGAAGAAGTCAATGCTGCCTCATCAAATAAGCACCTGAGTCTATCCTCACCTTCAGAAGACCCTGTGAACAGCGGTGCTGGACTGGTGGGCTGATGTGACAGAGGATGGGGTTACTTAGCCACTTGGCTCTCCTTTTCCTTCTCTGCAGAGTAGGGCAGGTGACAGTAATAACCCAAGCTCATGGGCACCGATCAAGACAGATAAATAAGGAGGCGAGCGCCCAGCACTCAGCAGCCAGTGCTGTGGTCTTCCTGCCCCTCTTCAGCTCACTGACTCCTCAACGAATTAAAACAATAGAGTTTAAGATGCAGGGTTTAGGGAATCAGCCTAGCTGGTAAAGCGTTTGCCTTACAAACATGAGGGCCTGAGTTTGATCCCCAGAACCCATTTTTTTAAAAGTCTGGCATGTGACGCTGAAGAGACGACTCAGTAGTTCCCGAGCAAGGTTGCTCTTGCAGAGGACCTGGACCAACCCCCACACTGTATCTCACAATCTCCAGCAAAACGTCATTTCCATAAGACCTGACAGACGTCTGATCTCCACAGCCACCAGCAATACATGTAGTAAGCATATGTTTGACTAGATAAAACCACTCAAGACACATTAAAAATGAAAAAAAAAACCCATAAGTCTTAAAAAAAAAGCCAGGCATGTAGGTGTGTGCTTGCAATCCCAGAGCTGATAGCGTGTAGCTAGGCAGATCCATACACACACACACACACACACACACACACACACACAAATCCACTCATATACCATACGTAAACTCTTCTCTCTTTTCCCATATGCATATATGTATGTATGTATGCATATGTGTGTGTCTCACACACAGAGAGAGGCACACACATACACACAAATCCACCCACCCACATAAACTCTGCTCTCTCTTCCCACATGCATATATGTACATATATGTGTATGTATATGTGTATGTATGTATATATGTTTATCCTCATGAGCTTCCACATTTCTTTCCAAATTTCTTAACAATTTCTACTCATTCCATTTCAGTTCATGAATTGCATGATTTCTCTCTAACTATATGCCAAGGAAGACCATGTGATAGCATCAGCCTATACTGCCAAGTCTGGTGGCTTCCCTTCATCCTGTTCTTCAGCACACCACTGAGCAAGCCTCAGCCCCTGACAGCATGTGGTTGGTTATTTAAACTCCACCAGAGTAGGGCCGTCTGTTTCAATGTTCCTGAGTAACTTCAGGAATTAGAAAAGCATTTGATACATGGTAAGCACTTGATTCATTTCTGGAGGAGGTTGGGGAGAAGAATGAAAGCGGAAAAACAAGAGCAAATGAACCAGGCAGGGAGGGAAGGGGAAGCAGAGAAGGAGGGGGAGGAGGAGGGGGACTGACAGACAGGGAAAGAGAGGGAGAGAGGGAGGGAGGGGAAAAGGAAGAGGTCACAGAGGAGGACACTATAAACAAGATCTAAACAATTTCTCATCCACATGTCCTTGCTGATAGACTGGGATCTGTTTTAGTAATTTCCAACCACAATAAGCCTGCATAGAAAACACACAATAGTTACAGTTAGAAGCTATGTGCCTAGATTGGGCAGACTAGTGCTATGCTGACTTCTTCCCCAGCTGTAAGACCCGTTCTTACTTGCAGTTTCTCCTAGCCATGAGGTTCTGCTCCATCATGGCTTCTTCCTCCTCTCCTTCCATCCACTCTCTCTTCTTTTCTCCTCCTCCTCTCCCTACCTGCCTCCCTCTCAAAGACCTCTCATCCCACCCTTCCCCTCCACTGCCCAATCGCAGGCTCTAGCCTTTATTGACCAGTTAAAATGGAGAGAAGGTTCACATGAGATCATCTGAGCACATGCTCAACCTTTCTTGAGAAAACAAAATTAACATCAAAATTCAAACAATATCAGGAGAGCTCACACCAGGGGTCTCTTACTATGGCCACATCATCTCTGGACTTTCTGAAATCATACAGCAGTTAGCACGTCATGGCCAATTAATATTCAAATGAACACATATATTTGTATACATTGTTGGTCTTCAAGAGGAAAGCCAGTTTCCCAAAAGACAGTCTCTTGGCTACAGGGAGGGGATAGCAACCCCTACACCTTACTTGAACCCAATCAAAGTCAGAAAAACACTCTTAATCATCACACCCACCTGCAGAATATTCAGTAGTGATAGGGATATTGGATAAAAGGCAGCACAGGAAAAGCAATGGATACCTACTCATGTCAAAGAGGTCCTTCCGTGGGCTGCTCTCGGTGCTGCTGGTTGCTGCTGGCCAAACCTGTGGTGGGCCTGGCTGGGTGTTGACATAGGTTGGTGTTTCCCCTACAGGAACCATGTGAGTTTTTCCTTCTGGGGTGCTATAGATATCCAAGGAGCCTGTACCGAGAGAGTGAGCTCTGTTATCTCTTAGGATGGTAGCGCTCTTCCTGTCTGTACCTGGAAGAGCCAGAATTTGACATAGCAAGCACCTCAGACCTGGGGCTGAGAATATTTACTCGTGGTAAATTCTCTTCTAAGCCTGTCAGCACCGCGGCCCTGTTAAGACACTCCCCAATCCTTCATGTCAAGAGAGAAGGAAAGAAAGAGAGAGAGAGAGAGAGAGAGAGAGAGAGAGAGAGAGAGAGAGAGAGAGAAGGGAGGGA